AATCTAAAAGTACTAAGTCATGCTAAAATAAATAGACCAATAAGGGAGTATTAATTACATGACTAAACGCTAAAGAAAAAATAAAAATAGGTTATGCATTTTTATCTAAATTATTGCAAATCAAAAAATAGATATTCAATATATTGTCATTCGTAGTATTGAATTGAATGTCTTTTGTTAGCATTAGTGTTGATTTGATTTTGGTTTGAGCTTTTGTTAGCATTATTTAAGTTACTAATATTTCTGGATATTTATGTATGTCATATACTCTATTATATTTAAATAAGTGTACTTATTTATTTCAAAAAAGTATTCATATTGAAGACTTTAATTGTTGTAGTAATATTTATGTATATGATCCATAATAAGTTTTAAATCACTTTTATATATATATATATATATGTAAGAAGTCATTTTTAAATAGGTGCTCATATATTGAAGAACTTTGTTGGGGGGGGGAGGGTTAGTACATTTAGTTTTGATAAATGACCAAAGACTCCAATTATATACAAGAAATATATTTAACACTACAAGAAAATAATAATAATCTAAATAAAATATGACATTTCTTAGCTACATAATCACGGATTTACAATAAATTTATGGTTTCATCACTAGCTAATTAAAAAATTTATATTTAAAAAATAAGTTTTGCAATGAAAATTAAATTTGTTGCTAATTTTTGCCCTAATATATGATGACAAATTTAGAGACGGGATCTTTATCAATAACATTATTATTTGTATTAACTTTATATAATTTTTTATATATAATTACACTAAGACATCTAAGTCCATATAAAAATTAATTATATAGTTATTCTGGTTAAATCAGTATTAGTTGGGAGTTCTAATTTTATTAAAAATATTGAATTATATCTAATTAATGTGTAAATAACTAACTATTGAGTATTAAACAACACTAATATTATACCAATTACATTGTATAACTGTGACGACCCAAAGGGTCACCACCTGTTTTCTCATTCATTCTGTAGTTCTGAGGCCTCGAAAACATCATTCAGGGTTGCCTCGATTTGCGTGCGCAGTCCGGGCGCGTAGCCGGAAAGCTTAATTATGAATTCCGTGTGAAAAATGCTAAATTTTGATATTAATATGAATATATTTGACTTCGATCAACATTTTGGGTAAACGGATCCGGACCCGTGATTTGACGGTCCCGGAGGGTCCGTAGAAAAATATGGGACTCGGGCGTATGCCCGGAATCGAATTCCGATGTTCCAAGCCCGAGAAATGAATTTTTGAGTAAAATTGTTTTTCTGAAATTATCAAGGAAATTGGAAATGAAATTTGATTAAAAGACTGTGGTATCAGGCCCGTATTTTGGTTCTGGCGCCCGGTACAAGTCATATATATGGTTTAAGCGCTTTCTGTAAAGTTTGGTTGAAATCGGACGTCGTTTGACGTGTTTCGGACTTAAAATGGAAAATTAATGTTTTATGAAAATTGGGAAGAATTCATGAGTTTTGAGGCTTGATCCGTTGTTTTTGATGTTATTTTGGCGATTTGATCGCACGAGTAAGTCCGTAGGATGTTTTTGAGGTTGTGTGTATATTTGGTTTGGAGCCCCGAGGGCTCTGGTGAGTTTTGGATAGGCCACGGAGTGCATTTTTGAACTTGGAAATTTGCTGGTGTGATCTGACCTGCAAGCTTCGCATTTGCGACGCCTGGCTCGCAAATGCGAAGAATCCTTCGCAAATGCGAAGGTGCTCACATTGCACAGGGATCGCAAATGCGATCATAGCATCGCAAATGCGAAAGCTGGGACTTTCGCAAATGCGAAGTCCCCAAATATGCCAATGGTTCGCAAATGCGAACTTTTGTCCGCAATTCCCAAAGTAACAGGTCGAGGTTCGCAATTGCGAACCCCAGTTCGCATTTCCCACATCTGCAACCTGCATTTTTCATACTTAGACGAATTTCAAGTCATTTTTCACCCCACTTTCAAAATACAACTCCTTAGGCAATTTTTCAAAAACAAGTTTCATCCCAAATCATTTGTAACTCGATTTTTACTTAACTCTTTCAATCATTAACATGTTTTCAACTTAAAATCAATGATTTTCATGGGAGAAATTAGGGGTTTTGGGTAGAACCTAGGTTTTCTATAAATTGGGGATTTGGACCTCAATTTGAGGTCCGATTTTAAAACAAATTGCATATTTGAGTTCGTGGGGGAATGGGTAACCGGGTTTTGGTTCGAACCTCGGGTTTTCACCACGTGGGCTCGGGGGCGATTTTGGAATTTTTGGGAAAAACTTTGGCAAAATTCATTTTTATGCATTCAAATTGATTCATTTAGTGTTTATTGACGTAATTAAGTAATTTGTGGCTAGATTCGAGCGGATTGGAGGTGGAATTACGGGGTATAGCCATAGTTGAGGCTTGACTTGATTTCAAGGCATCGAAGTAAGTGTTTGGTTTAACCCTAGCTTGAGAGAATAGGAGTTGAGTCTTATTTGTAACTTGCTAATTGTCGAGTACGATGTATAGGCATAGTGACGAGTATCTATGAGCATGACCGTGAGTCCTTATTTGCGGATAGTTTGGTTGTTATTATGCCTCCATGCTTAAATGATGACTTATATATATTGTAAAGACCTTGTGAAAGAAATTGTGATCTTGAAACTTTGTGGAGCATTGGCTCGGGTTGAAATACAAATTGTGAAGGTATATGAGATAAGTAACTCTTTGGAGCATTGGCTCAAGTGATAATGTGAACTGTGAGATGAAAGTGAAAGAAAGAAGAGAGTTCATGATTCATTCCCTTGCCGGGACGTTGTTGGTTATTGATATTGTGCCCTTGCCGGGTTTTTAATTGTTGTTTGTGTTCCCTTGCCGGGATTTTCATTATTGTTTATTTATTCCCTTGCCCTTGTTTCTGATTGTTGATTGGGTGAGGAAGAGTGTTAAAGCATGAAGGGTGATGTCGTGCACTGTTTGTTTATGGTAAGGAAAGAGTGTAAAGCACGAAGGGTGATGTCGTGCATTGTTTTCTTATTATAAGAAAGAGTGTTAAAGCACGAAGGGTGATGTCGTGCCGCACGATGTACCATTCAGTGCCGATTCTATTGATATATGTGAGGAATGAGAGTAAAAGCACGAAGGGTGATACCATGCACATGTTATTGCTTGGTGAGGATGAGAGTAAAAGCACGAAGGGTGATGCCGTGCACTGGTTGAATTCTGTTTCATTACGTACTATTGAGTTGTGCTGTATTCCTTTATTATTGGACGACTCTTATTTGAAATTTATTATACTCCCCACAGCATGTTTCCCCTCCCATATTGTTTATCTGTTTTGTATTTCGATTCCGCTGTGTTATATATATATATATATATATATATATGAAATTACACAGGTTTGTGTGGTAGTCTGGTCTAGCCTCGTCACTACTTCGCCGGGGTTAGGCTAGACACTTACCAGCACATGGGGTCGGTTGTGCTGATGCTACACTCTATGCATTTTTTTGCACAGGCCCAGGTTTCGAGCAGCAGCAGCAGCATTAGCACGGGAGCAGGCTTTCAGTATTGTGAGACCCGAGGTAGCCTTGCAGGCGTCCGCAGGCCCAGCGTCTCTCTCTTATTCTCCCTTTTAGACTGTTGCCTCTTTGTATTCGAGACAAACAGCTTATGTGTTCTTTCAGACCCTTGTATTTTGAAATTCTTAGCAGTTCGTTAGTATTGTGACACGAGTCTTGGGTAGAGGCTTATATTGACGACTCCATGTTTTATTCAGTTTCTATAATTAAGACTTCCGCTATTAATTAGTTTTGTTGTTTTATATTGTTGTCATAAATTGTTAAAAAGAATTGTTTATTAATGAAAAAGTAATCAAAATGGCTTGCCTAGCTACTACGAGTAGGCGCCATCACGACCCCCGAGGGTGGAAAATAAGGGTCGTGACAATAACAAATTATATATATGTTATTCTGGTTAAATCAATATTAGTTGTGAGTTCTAATTTTATTAAAAATATTGAAATATATCTAATTAATGTGTAAATAACTAACTATTGAGTATTAAACAACACTAATATTATACCAATTACATTGTATAACAAATTATATATATTTATTCTGGATGATAAAATACGATATGATATGGTTTTTACTATCTTAATAATTATCATAAATCAAATTATACACTGAGTCTAAAAATTAAAATTTTAATATCATTCTTAAACATGAAAGAGATCTAGTCTCTCTTGTGAGTATTATTTGTATTTAAGAATAGCTACATATTTTCACTATTATTATTCTTATTTTTGAGTATTATTTGTATTAAAAAATAGTTACAGATTTTCACTATTATTAAGTTTATTTTTGTAAAAAAGTTAAGAACTTAATATGACTGATATAGGAATATATAACAAAACAAACCACTATTAAGTTATAATTTATTTTTTGGTAAATAGTAAATATCATAATTCATATTAAACAAAGTATTACTTTAAAGTTTCAAAACTAATTTAAATACGTATAGTTAAACTTAAATATATTATATACTATTAGATTTAAATAATTATGTGCTTATTACTAGTTATATTCAATTTAGAAAGTATAAAAGTTATTGATTTAATAATCTAATACTATTTTAATAACTTAATAATTATCATAAACCTAACTTAACACTAAAAATTAAGAAGCTAGTATTATTGAAATATGAACATATAACAAAAGTAACAATATCATATAAGATGATAAGCTATAAAGAAAATATATTTTAGAATATCTTTATTTGATGCGAATAGCTGATTTTTTTTTATTTTACTTAAATGTAATATATTTATTCTTTTGTTTATATGTAAGTTTCTTACTTTTATTTGGATATATGGTATTTGTATTTTTTTTCTTGTATATATGGTATTTGTATTAAGAAGTAAACAAATCTTGAACCCAAAAAAAAAAAGTAAAACAAAGCAAAATATATAACAAAAGGACGAATTAAACCTAAACCACCAAACCAAAACCTAAATTTTTCATCTTCCTTAGCCGCCACTCTCCCTCCCCCTTTTCTTATTTCTTTCATCCACAGTAGTGGGCGTTACTTTAAATCTGTGCGAAAGACAAAGAGGAGTAAGAATGTATTTCCACTGCTTCTCATTTACGAACAAAAAAATTAACTTATTGGTTTGTCTCTTACCAAGTAAGCTGATGTCTCTATATCGTAGGGTTTTTGAATCTCCTTACACTTACTTGGGTTTGAGTTTTTAAGTTCAATTTTACGAGTTATTCCAGCAATTTGATAGATATTATGCCTTGTTTTTATAAGTGGTGAGTGCGATGTTGAAGATCTGATAGGTTTTGTGCCTTACACCTTATTAACTTGGGTTTTTGCTTCAATTGTTTGTTTTTTATTTATAGGGTGGTCAAGAGAAATGTGCCTTTGAGAAATTCCAATCTCTTCTAATGCCAAACTGTAAGCTTTACTTATTTCTTTCATCTCCTTAAGTTTATGATGTTTATTTAAATGCGTTTTCTTTTGTCTTCTATGTTGGAAAAAAGTTTAGAATTTTTTCACTTGATTCATGGCTAAGTATATTCTTATTCCATAACTTATTGAATTTTTTTAATTACTAACTGTGCATGTATCTAAATCGGTATATATTTTGATAATTCAAATATAAGTTTCTCACAAGATCATGCTATTTCATTATTTCAGTATATTGATTATGGAAAGTGCTTCATATATTCTTGGATGCATGAAGATCAAGGGTGCGATGAGGGTGGCCATATGGATCATCAAGCAAATACTTATGTTCATTTAATGTGAAATCATGTACATTATTTCTGATCTCTCTTACAATCAAGCCTCACATTGGCTAGTTCTTTTCTACAAATTTTAATTATTGTAGAAGACTTATCTATTGCAGATGCTATTAATTGATTAGTATAAATGTATATTTTGGAATTTATTTTGTGAAAAATTTTAAATGCCAATTTGTGCCGAATAAATTATTATTCAAGCTTAATATGTTATTAGTTTTAATATATTATGCACATCCACATAATAATTGAAATTTTTTATAAAAGAATCAATTAGCTAAGAAACAGGGAATTTGTGAGAGAAATTGTCACTATAATAAATTGTGATTTTTGTCAAAAAATTAAAATATAATAAAATAATGTAACCACGACTTTTGTATGATTTGTAGCCATGGAACTTTTAGTCCGTAGCTAAATAAAAATATTTTTGCCACGGACTACTATATGAAAGTAGTTACATATCTAAGTTTTTATGGCAAATAAAATTTAAGTCTTTTGCCACGCTATAACACTTTGTGGCAACCATATAAAGACAGCTACAAATTTATTCGTCGTGGCAAGAGTATAAAATTATTTGCTATAAATATATTTGTCGTGGTAAAAGTATAAAATTATTTGCTATATATATAGCTACAATAAAAAAATTTCGTAGCAATAAGTATTAATCCTTAGCCACGGACCATGTAAAGTTTGTAGCTAACTTTTAGCAACGCTACATTTTGCTACGAATGCTACGGAAAAAAATTGTGTAGCTAAAGTGTTTAGCCACGAAAATTTTCATCATTTGCTACGCTGTGTTTTGTAGCTATAAATGCATTATGTTGTAGTGGTCCCAAGTCACCGGTTTAAAATCCCGAATCGAGGAAGTTGACTCTGTTATACAATCCGCGAAACACAAAAATCCGAGTAAGGAATTATGTTAACCCGGGAGAAGGCGTTAGGCATTTCCGAGTTTCGTGATTTTAGCACGGTCGCTTTAATCATACTTGACTTAGTTAAATTGTCTAATTTCTTATTTTAGAACCTATGTGCATTCACCTCTTTTATTAGGAAATTATCTTAAAACAGGTCACTCGTACGTGTACCCATTTGTTTGGCGCGTCAAAAATCATGTCACGCGTACGTGTCCACAATTAATAACGCTTTATTATTATTATTAACAAAGTTTAGTCGAAGTTGCGCGAACGCATACTCCAATTTTATTTTTAGGATCATGATTATGTCACGAGACGTGTACACAACCACGATGGTATATTAAACGTGCCTAAAGCAAGCTGTGGATATTCATGTTTTAAACTAAGTTAAAGTTCAATCTAAAACTACTAATTGTAAGCATGCTTTGGATAATACACTAGGCTTTTAATTATTTTGAGAAGAAATGGGCCAGCAACAGGCCTAATTTGTTATCTACCGGAGTCATTAAGGGAAAACATGGCTGGTAGGCACTGGGCTCGAAATGGAGCCCAGGAGTGAGGACAAAGAGGGGCAAAACGGGCCTGGTCTAATCTGGCAGATCCGATTGGGCCAGTACCAGGCCTAACTTTCAAAAACAAGCTTTCAATGTTACAGTCCATTTATTATATTAACAAAAAATTTAAGAAAATGTGCTGATGATACTTGGGCCGAAATTGAGCCCAGAAAGTGAAAGAAGAACATAAACAAGTCATATGGAGCCTGGTTCAAACTCAGCTGCCTCATCTGGGCCAAGGCTAATGGGCCAGGCGGATTCCAGTAGATGAAATCCAAAGTCCAAACTGGACGGCCCGCATGGCTCCTTTGCTGAAATTCAATCTCTTCTAATACACAAATAACTACACCATTACTCAATTTTGAAATCGAATATGCTGAACTACTTTAGACTACTGATTAATCACGTTACATCACATGCATAAGCACTTTATCATTACTAAATCCTAAGATAGCAAATACGCATATCATTCAGCAATTGAACAATGATTTTCCTTTTGAAAAGTGTATGACCTTGGGCCTTGGACTTACACCATGGCTAGCAAAATACTCAAATGCCCTTTCAATGAGACAGACGAAAGAAAAAGGCTAAACAATTATGCAGTTATCTTGGATTTCCAGCAGGTCCAATATATTAAAATAAAACTACCTAAAGCATTCAATTCTGAACCTCCCAATATCTTTATACATCACATCTATTTATAGGAAAATTTTGTATCTATTTAACAGTAACCACGGACTTTGAATCATTGATGAACACTTAATGATTAAAAAGAAGATCGAACACGACTCAACCTAAACTATCAAAACCAAATATCCTAATGTGTACAATTAAAAATTTGGACCACAGTCTTTCATAAGGCTGCCAGCTTTTCCATACATGAGTAAAATTATGTTTCAGCTTTGAACTCACATGGATCTGACCATGTCGAGATCAGATCCATCAAGAGCATGGCTACACCCACGCTGATCACTGTATCATCACATAAACTCAGCCAATAAGACAAGAATATTAGACGAGAAGGAACAAATGGAACAGCATATATAACCCAAACCCGATAGATAACGAATATTGCATTTAAAACACAAGTAAACACATTTTTATAGCATCAGAAACACTAATTAACAGAGATTTACATGGTCAAGAAAACTCAAAGGTTATTGCACCTATGAAGATGAATTGCATCATAACAACCTATCATTCAAAAAAAATTTCTTGCATTCATGTTAAGTCAAATTTACAGAGGTTTTAGCACAAGGCAGGATGTGTACCTTGTTGCTTAAAAACTGCTCCAAAAGTGCTAAATAGATGCAAGTAATTCAAACAGCAAAGAGATACACTTTCAGCAAGAAATCAGTAGAAAGCAAGCAGCAAGAAACAACCAACCACATCCTCAAACTTAATCCATTTTTCGACTTGTGGAAACCAGAAATCCCAAGAAAGTTCTTAAATTTTTTTTTTAAATCAGAGGAAGGGAGGGTCAGCTCTAATGAAACAGTGTTGAACCTTTAGGAGTGTTTTAGGGTTCTAAATCTCTGACTCTAAAATGAGTGAAGAGAGACTCTTTTTATAGGCATTCAAAATGCCATGTGCTGAAAAAGAATCAGGGAATTATTCCCTTCAGCCACAAAGGCATCTTTTAACAAATTTGGACAGCTGGTTATCTCTCATTGGCTTCAGCATTTTGTGCTAACCAAATGAGGTCAGCTGCCCCCTATTCTAGAACTTTTCAGCATGGTCTTTATCCAATTTCATATTTACCCACCCTTCAAACAAACCCCTTAAGTTTCCCTTTTATTCAATTAGCCCCTAGAAATTTCTACTGATTTACAAATTAGGGTAAATACAAATGAGCAGGCCAATGAAAATCAAACAGCAAAAACTAAACAATGATTGAATTCTGCACATCTGAATACTAAAAATAAACTTAAAATGACCTAATTTCACGATGAATCTTTGATTTTAACAATCAGAAATCTAACTCAACGGCTAATGACAAACTAACTTAAACCACAACAAAATACTATATAACATATTGAATCTAAGAGACTAGCATGGGACATTCAAATCAAACAGGTAATAATAACACAAAATAATCTAAATAACCTAATGCATGCAACTAACGAAAAAGAATAAGAAGAGCAAAAGCAAGAAAAGGAAAACAACCCAAGGAATCTATCCTAAATATATTTAAGTAAAGTTACTGCTTAATCAACAAAACAAGCGAAGACAGAGATGAAATAAACCCTAACATCATATTTTTTTTCATTTTCTTTTAGTATAAAATAAAGAAACAAGGCAAAGGGTAATACCTAGTGAGATATAGGAAGAAAGGAACGGATCCCGTGTTCGGCTTCGATACAGCTTAAAATCGACCCCAAATTGTTGTTCTGGTCAAGAATAACCGTCTGGGCTGAATCTCAAAACTAATCGAACAGAAAGAAATGATGAAGAAGGGACCTGCATGACTCAGTGTTTCTTGGGATTCTTAGATCCAAGATTCAAGGAGTTGTAGGGGGTTTTGACGGGAAATGTTTGGTGATTTATGGTGAGGAGGAGAAGGGGGTTGTAGGGTGTGAGTATGGCGATGTTTGGGTGAACTGGGGTTTAGGTTTGATTTTCAGATCTAAAATTGATGGATTTGGGTGGTGATTTTGGGAAGATGGATAGTGGGTGTTTGGGAGGGCATTAGGATTACGGGGTGTGAATATGGAGCGATTGGGTGAAGCTCTGCCGCCGTAAGGCGATTTTCGGGCGGCGGAGCGAGGCGGAGCCGGAGAGGAGTTTGGGGCGGCTAGTGTTTTCATCAGAGAGAGAGAGACGAGGGTGAAATGAGAGGAGTTCATGGGGGGGAGGGGTGTCTAGGTTCGGACAGTTTTATTGCAAATGGTTGCCTAGTTTTGAGCCGTTGGATCTCAAGGATCCAACGGTTGTGATTGAGAGATAGTGAAACGGGGTCGTGTTTGTTTATTGGGGGACCTGGACCGGGTATAGAGATTGGGCTGGGGTGATTTGGGCGAGATTTTGAACTCAATTGGGCCAAATTGGCCCAGCCTGTCAAGGCCAACTTAATCCCCCCTTTTTTTCTTTTTTCTTTTCTCTTTGTTTTTTTTCTTTAATTAATTAAAATCCTAAATTAATCTAATTTGCAAAACTAAACTAATTATAATATTAACAAAAATTAGTTAGTCCTAAATTAATGAAGAGAAAAATACTATTCTAACATTTTAAAGCTAAAAATATAAATGAATGATATTTTTTTGTGATTTTCATTTTAATAATAATTAATTAACCAAATTAATCCTAAAATACGAACACACAACCTAATATGCAATGCATAGAATTTTGATATTTCTGGGGCATTTTCTATGCTCTAATGCATGCAAATAAAATGCAAACACTTGTACAAATATTCCTAAAAATTCTATAAAATTAAAATGACCTACAAAAATCTATTGTGAGATTCTGTAGGAGTATTTTGGGCCGGGCAAAAATCGTATGAGCAGAGTCGCCAGAGCTGTCACACTTCCTTTTTCTACCCCGCAGGAGATATAAGGGAGTTTTTCCAATTTAAGTGACAATCGAAATGGAATTATTATCAAATTCAGAGTCGCCACTTGTGATAATTTATGGTGTCCCAAGTCACCGGATTGA